CTTTTGTTTGTGTCCTTTACAATTTATTTCATTAGTGTTTTGTAGTTCTCCTTGTAAAGATCTTCCATCTCCTTGGTTAATAGAGTCATAGGTATTTTAGCTTTTTGGCTGCTATTGTAAATGGAATTAGTTCTTGATTTGATTCCCAGCTTGGTTGCTATTAGTGTGTAGCAGTGCTACTGACTTGTGTGTGTTGATTTTGTATCCTGAAACTACACTGAGTTCACTTATCAAGTCTAGGAGTCTTTTGGAGGAGTCTTTAGGATTCTCTGGGTATAAAATCATATCGTTGGCAGACAGAGATGGTTTGGTTTCTTCTTTTCCAATTTGGATACCCTTTCTTTCTTTCTCTTGCCTGATTGATCTGGCCAGGACTTTCCATACTATGTTGAATAGGAATGGTGAAAGTGGGCATCCTTATCGTGTTCTGCTTCTGAGGGGGAATACGTCCAGCTTTTCTCCATTCAGGATGACATTGGCTGTGGGTTGTTGTATATGGCTTTTATTATTTTGAGGAATGTTCTTTCTGAGCCTATTTTACTAAGGGTTTTTTCATGAAGGGATGCTGAATTTTATCAAGTGCTTTTTCTGCATCTTTTGAAACAATCATAAGATACTTGTTTTTAATTCTATGTGGTGGATCAAGTTTATTGACTCGCATATGTTGAACCATCCTTGGATCCTTGGGTTAAAAATCACTTGATCATGGTAGTTTTTTTTTTTTTTTTTTTTTTAAGTATGCTATTGAATTCAGCTTGCTTAAATTTTTTGTGGATTTTTGCATATTTCATCAGGGATATTGGTCTGTAGTTTTTTGTGTTGTTGTGTCTTTTCCTGCCTTTGGTACTAGGGTGATACTGGTTTCATACATAGATTGAGTTAGGGAGAATTCTCTCCTTTTAAGTCTTATAGAATAGATTCAGTATAATTGGTACCTGTTCTTGGAAAGTCTGGTGGAATTTGGCTGTGAGTTCATCAGGTCCTGGACTTTTTTTGTTGGTAGACTTTTAATTACTGTTTTAATTTCGCTACTTGTTGTAGGTCTGTTCAGGGTTTCTGTTCCTTTCTGATTCAAGGCTGGGAGTTTGTATGTCTCCAAGTATTTATTCACTTCTCCTAGATTGTCTAGTTTGTTTGCGTAGAGGTATTCATAATATTCTTGGATGATTGTTATGTCTTCATTTTCATTTCTGATTGAACTTATAGGAATCGTCTCCATTTCTTACTTAATCTAGCCAGTGATCTATCAATTTCGTTTATCTTTTCAAAGAACTACTTGTTGTTTTATTGATTCTTTATATTTTGTTTTTTCAATTCCATTTAGTTCTGTTCTGCTCTTCATTATTTATTTTTTTCTACTAGCTTTGGGTTTGGTCTGTTCATGTTTTTCTAGTTCCTTGAAGTGTTATGTTAGGTTGTCAACATGTACTCTTTCAGTCTTTTTAATGTAGAACTTAAGTGCTACAAATTTTCCTCTGAGCACTTTGCTGTGTCCCAGAGGTTTTTATAACTTTTGTTGCTGTCATTCATTTCAAGGAATTTTTAAATTTGTGTCTTGATTTCATTGTTGACCCAAAGATCATTTCAGGAGCAGACTAATTTCCATGGATTTGTTTGTTTTTGTGAGTTCTTGTAGTTAATTTCTAGTATTATTCCACTGTGGTCTGAGAAGGTGGTTGATAGGATTTTGGCTTTTTTTTTTTTTTTTTTTTTTGAAGTCAGAGTCTTACTCTGTCTCCAGACTGAAGTACACAGATCTTTGATCTGCTGGGCTCAGGCAATCCTTCCTCCTCAGCCTTCTAAGTAACTAGAACTACAGGCACATGCCACCATGCCTGGCTAATTTTTTTTATTTATTGTAGAGACGAGGTCTTGCCAAATTGCCCAGGCAGGTCTCAAACCCCTGGGCTCAAGAAATCTGCTTGCCTCCTCCTCCCAAAGTGCTGAGATTACAGGCGTGAGCCACTGCACCCAACTTAATTTTGATTTCTTTAAATTTATTGAGATTTGGTTTATGTCCTATCATATGGTCTGTCTTGGAGAATATTCCATGTACTGATGAGAAAATGCATATTCTATAGTTTAGGGGTAGAGTGTTCCGTAGATGCCCATTAGCTCCATTTGCCCTGGGGTCCGGCTAAACTCCAATGTTCGTTTCCTCCCTTCCTCCCACCATTCCCGCCCACCTTTCCTCCCCCTCCCCCTTCTGAGTCATAGTCTCACTCTGTCACCCAGCTTGGAGTACAGGGGAATGATCAGGGCTCACTGCAGCCTCAACTTCCTGGTCTCAGGTGATTGTTCCACTTCACCCTCCTGAGTAGCGGGGACTACAGGCATGTGCCACCATGCCCAGCTAAATTTTTTTTTTTTGGTAGAGACATGGTCACACTATGTTGACATAGGCTGATCTCAAACTCCTGGGCTCAAGCAGTTCTCCTGCCTTGGCCTCCCCGAGTGCTGGGTTTATAGGCATGAGACATTACCCGCTGTTTGGTTTTGTTTGTTTGTTTGTTTTTGCTGACTTTCTGCCTGATGATCTGTCTGTTGCTGTCATTGGAGTATTGAAGTCTCCTAAATTTTAAATCTTGATGAGGTCAGCTTTATCAATGTTTTCTTTTTATGGATTGTGCTTTTGGTGTCTTTACCTAACCCTAGAAAACACCAGAGATTTTTGTTTTAAGTCTTATAGTTGTTTTTTTGGGGGGTGGTTTTTGAGTTGGAGTTTCACTCTGTCACCCAGACTGGAGTGCAGTGGCCGCTCCTGGCCACCGCAGCCTCGACCCACTGGGCTCCAGCTATCCTTCCACCTCAGCCTTCCAAGTAGCCAGAATTACAGGCGCGCGCTACCACGCCCGGCTCCTTTTTGATTTATTGTAGAGATAAGGTATCGCCAAGTTGCCCAGGTGGGTCTCGAACTCACGGGCTCAGGTAATCCACTCACCTCAGCCTCCCAAAGGCGCGGGATTACAGGCTGAGCCACCGAGCCCAGCTAAGTCTTATAGTTTTATCATTTATGTCTGTGAACCATTTGGAGCTAATTGTTATAAAGCACACAGTTTAGGTCAGCTCTTTTTTTGTTTTCTGGTTTCTGCCCCCAAAAGTTGTCTTCACCACCATCTGCCCAGAGAACTGCCTTTCCTCCATTGAGTTGCCTTGGCACCCTGGTCAGAATTCAGTTGGGCATGCTTGTTTGTATTGGTCTATTTCTGGGTTCTCTGTTCAGTTCCATCGATCTAAGTGTCTTTCCGTGTGCCATACTACCTGGTCTTGATTGCTATGGCTGCATAAAGTAAGTGGAAGGTAGTGATTCCTTTCACTTTATTCCTCTTTCTCAAAATCGTTTCAGCTATTTTAGGGGCCTTTAGCTTTCCTTCCTTCTTCCCTCCTCCCTTCCTTCCCCTTTTCATTTAGAATGTTAAAAGAAGCTTGTTTACATCTACAAAAACCCTTATTGAGATTTTTATAGGAATTGCATCAAACATACAGATCAATTTGTATTGATATCTTTTCTATGTTGAGTCTCCCAATCCATGAACATGGCATATCTATTAATTTAGGTCTTCTTTTATTTTTCGTGACCATTTTGTAATTTTTAGCATATAAATCCTACATATGTCTTGTTAAATTTATACTTAAGTATTTCTTTTATTAGGAATGATTGTTTTGTTCTGCTTCTGCATATGTAGAGTGATTTTGGATGTATTCTGGACATTACGAATAAGCTGTGGAAACTCTAGGTGCAAACGGGCATGGTGGTGCATACCTGTAATCCCAGCTACTCAGGAGTGGAAGGATTACTTGAGTTAGGAGTTTGAGGCCTGCATAAGTAAGATAGTGAGCCCCAGTCTCCAAAAAGAAAAGAAACTCTAACTTCTGTGTATTCTCCTGTTCCTCTAGGGAGTCCTGTTCTACTTGTTTATTTTGTAGCTCGAGTCTCCATCCCAGCTCCTTTAACCTTTGAGCCATAGCTCGAGCCTCTTCAGGGGTCAAGCAGAGATCTAGCAGAGATCATGCATTGGGTTTGCCACCACCCCATCCTGGGATTTCCCACCTCGCTTTCTTTCCAGGGGCTATAGCTACCATCCTGTCTGGTTCTTCAGGCCGTTACGACTGCAGGTTTTTTCTGTCATGAGTTTTAGCCCACGTGACACAGACTGGCCTCTCCTCAGACTAACAGCCGTAGCAGAATGAAGAGGACAGTCCACCTGTGTCATTTTCTTCCCAGATGTCACCTCCTTGCTAGTATTTGCTTGATCTGTTTATCCTCTAGGATCTTATGGTAGTCGCTTTTCATATATTCTGGTCAGAATTTATAGTTGTTATATATGAAGAATTTAATCAAAAGGCACATACTTGGTATTTTGTGGTGATTCATTTTCAGATTCTCCAGTTTGCCATATTGCCAGAAAATTAAGTTGTATTATAATAAGGGGAGAAAGGGTCTTTTTCTTCCATGTTGGAAAATGGTTGTGAGGGAGAAAAATGCCAGAGTGCTGGAGTTAGACAGAGAAGGATATAAATTTTGGTTTTGCCACCTGCTAGTTGTATATAACATTGGTTGTCTTGTTTAACTTTGTTATCTGTAAAATGAGGATTTAAAGACACCTATATCACGTTTATTGTCAAAAGTAAAAAATATTTTTAAAAAGTACCCTTGAATGCTAGTTATTAGCCACATTTTCCCATATTCCCATGTTCTGTATCTAACTCCTGTTTCACAGATGAAATCGTTGAGAGCTGAGCTAGCCCCACTGTACCGAGCCATTCCCTCATTTTTCTGATACACGGTGAGACTGTGTCCCATAGGGTCCTTTCGCTAAATGTGTCAAGTGCCAGCTGGCACACCTTCAGAGACAAAGGTCTTTTTGCAAGAACCTCGGGATGAATGTGCGTTTTTCTTTAAGTTTGTTAGAAAGCAGAGAAAGTGCTCTATGACCAGATCACTTAAGCGTTTGAAATCTGAAAGAGGAAAACAGTGTTGTTTATTTTTACTTTTATAGGAGTCTCCTCCTTGTGTAGAAAATTACTGTCTACCAGAAGCTGTTTCATTCCTTCAGAATAATAAGGAACCTGGGCCTGGATTATCACAGAAGAGAAAAGCGCCTGCAGTACAACATAACCTCAAGCGACCTAGAGTGGTGTCTCCCCTTTAGCTGCCAGACATGAATTGTGCTCTCACAACTAAAGCCTGGGTGTTCCTGTGGTGGATTTGTGTCGTGACATCAAGATGAGCACCTGAGGAATTTTGCTTCAGAGTATGGTGATGAACCCACCTGAGTTTTGAGCACCTGAAGTTTTAATCACTGAAATATTAACTGTTCCTTAATAAAAAGTTACCTACGATAACAACAACAAAATGCAGTTCCTCGGCCAGCTAGTTGCACTGCACTGAAATGTGGGGAGGGGGGCTTTGTTTATTTTTATTGTAAATATCTGAGGCTGTAGCTTAGTGGAAGTTTTAGAAGGTGAGGAAATTAGCTTTAATATGTCTGCCTTCATTCATAACAGTAAGAGTTGTCATGTTTTTTCATGTTTTCTCTGATTTTTTTATCTTCTCACCGCTTCACCCCTTTTTAAAAAATGGGAGCCTGAGTACAAGGTTTAACAAGGAAGCTCAGGCTTTAAACGTGTGTGTGTCTATGTACATGTATGTCTGTACAAACCTCCATGATGTCTGCCAAGCCCGATGCCCAAACTGGGAACACGTGACAATAAAGAATAAAAGTAGTGACTCACATTATTATTGAGATATTTTGTAGACAGATTTTTTTTTTTTTTTTTTTTACAAAGCAGGATTTATTGAGAAGACAGAAAAGCTCCCACTGTGGGAGGGGACCCGAAGGGGTTGCCTGACAGTTACATTTTTTAAAAAGAAAAGCACTATGGCATCTGTTCTCCTGTGGAAGCAATAAAAGATTTGCAGGACTTGACTTTAAAAGTGAACAGTGACCGGGCACAGCGACCCAGACTTGCAATCCCAGCAGTGGGGGAGGCGGAGGCAGGAGCATCGCTTGAGGCCACACGTTCACGACCAGACGAGACAGCACAGTAAGACCCTATCTCTAAAAAGAAAAGTTAGCCCAGGGTGATTGCGTGCACCTGTAGTCCTAGCTACTCAGGAGGCTGAGGCCAGAGGACTGCTTGAACCCAGGAGACTGAGGCTGCAGTGAGCTGTGATCACACCACTGCACTTGAGCCTAGATGGCAGAGCGAGCCACTGTCTCCTCAAAAGCCAAAAGGTGAATTGCTAGTTACATTTCTGATGTTTTTTATTTGGAATATTGCTCTTTTTGGGTAAAAAATACTTTCACTGGAACTAAGTGAACCTTTCTTGTGCTACGCATAAACACCAAATACTACATGCATTAGCACAGTCCTCTAACCATGAAACTCCCTTGTTTCATTTAAGGGAAAACCAGAATCCGTTAGGACTATCATTTTGATGTAAACTGTTCAATTCTGAGTGATTCTTTGAAAAGCAAACTCAAACAGTGAACGGGAAAGGGAAGGTTCTCCACTCGGACCTGAAACTCCTCAAGTCCTAACCAAATTTTCCTCAAAAAGGAGCAGAGGGTGTCCCTGCCTCTCAAGAGGATTGGCCCTTAAGTTTCAGCTTTGAGTTTCAGACGATACAATTTCTACACAGAGAAACAGGGAGTGCTATCATGTTAACTGTCTTTCCCCATGGACCTGGTTTATCAGAGCTATTTTATGTTAGCTGAATCCATTTTGTACATTTGTAATACATCTCTCTCACTTTTTTTTTTTGAGTTGGAGTCTCACTGTATTGCCCAGGCTGGAGTGCAGTGGCATGCTCACGGCCACCGCAGCCTCGACCTGTTGGGCTCAGGTGATCCTTCTGCCTCAACCTTCCAAGTGACCGGAACTACAGGCGTGCACTACCATGCCCAGCTTAATTTTTTTTTTATTGTAGTGATGAGGTCTCTCCAAGTTTCCCAGACTGGTCTCCAACCCCTGGGATCAGCTCAGGCAATCCTCTCACCTTGGCCTCTCAAAGTGCTGGAATTATAGGCTTGAGTCACTGCACACGGCCTTATGTTTCTCTCAGTTTTACCAGTTAAAATTCTTTAAAATAGTTACTACTAACTTGGGCCACATAGTGAGACCCCATCTCTACAGTTTTTTTAATTAGCTGGGTGTGGTGGCATGCACCTATAGTCCTGACTACTCAGGACCCTGAGGCAGCAGGATCACCTGAGCCCAGGAGTTAGAGGCTGCTTTAATACATAGGATAGGCCAGTGCAATGACTCACGCCTATGATCCCAACACTTTGGGAGGCCGAGACAAGAAGATTGCCTGAGCCCACAGGTTTGAGACCAGCCTGGGCAACTTGGTGAGACCTCATCTCTACAATAAATCAGAAATATAGCCAGGTGTGGTGGCGTATGCCTGTAGTTCCAGCTACTTGGAAGGCTGAGGAGGAAGGATCGCCTGAGCCTAGCAGGTCGAAGCTATGGTGGCCATGAGCATGTCACTGCACTCCAGCCTGGGTGACAGAGTGAGACTCCAACTCAAAAAAATAAAATAAATACATAGTTTGCTTTATATCAAGTTGGCAACCTTTTTCTATAAAAGCATAGATAAGTAAACACTTTAAGCTTTGTGGGACAGGTCTCTGGCATTTTCCCCCCAACTCTTTAAAAATGTAAACACCATTTTTAGCTTGAGGCCATATGAAAATAGGCAGTGGGCCAGAGTGGGCTGACTCCCTGCCTGATATCCCTAAAAGATTTTTTTTTTTTGGAGTCATAGTCTCACTCTGTCACCCTGGCTGTAGGGCAGTGGCTCGCTCACAGCCACTGCAGCCTCGACCTGTGGGCTCAGGTGATCCTTCTGCCTCAGCCTTCCAAGTAGCTGGAACCACAGACACACCCCACCACGCCCAGCTAATTTTTATTTTAGAGACGAAGTCTTGCCATATTCCCCAGGCTGGTCTTGACCCTATGGGCTTGGGCAACCCTCTCACCTCGGCCTCCCAAAGTGCTGGGATTACAGGCTTGAGCCATCGTGCCCAGCTCCTAAAAAGATTTTAAAAGCGGTCGGGCACGGTGGTTCAGCCTGTCATCCCAGCACTTTGGGAGGCCAAGGCGAGTGGATTGCCTGAGC